TCTCTCTCTCTCTCTCTCTCTCTCTCTCTCTCTCTCTCTCTCTCTCTTCTTTTGAAATTTATAATTTAGTATGTAAAATCTAGTAAAAGACAAAAGGTAATTCAAATCAACTATTAGAGAAAATTATTAAACTTTGACTATACATTCATTTGTATAAAGAAATTAATTTATTTAAAGAACAGTTCTTATGTAAGCAGTGAAGAAAGGTTGTAAAGTAAAATAAAGGAATTTTGTTTAGTTTTGTTGTTGTGATCCTTTCCATTGTGATGAAATATCTCAGAACTAGAATCTTGGGACAGAACTGAAGTTAAGAAGTTGATGGGAGAAAACTGCTACGGATACTGAGTAGCCTAAGGACCTGTATCCCTTTTACCTATCTAGGTTTTTAAGGATTGATAAAGATATTGGCATGTCAGAGTTCATCAACTACAAAAATAGCTTTTTTTTGCTGAGTAACTTTCTCAATGCTCTGTTCATGTCTTTGTTCCTTAGACTGTAAATGAATGGGTTCATCATGGGGGTTACAACTGTATACATGATAGCAGCTACCTTATCTCTTTCTGCTGAGTAGTTGGAAGCTGGGAGAAAGTAGACACCAACAATAGATCCATAGAAGAGAGACACTGCTGAGAGGTGGGACCCACATGTAGAAAATGTCTTCCACTTTCCTTTTACTGATGGAACACCAAGCACAACAGTGCCAATAAGTGCATAGGAGACAAGAATAAAAACAAAGGGGATAAAGATAACTGTTCCCCCAACAACAAAGATGAGCAAGTTGTTGATTTGTGTGTCTGAGCAAGCAAGCCTTAAAATGGGTTCCAGATCACAGAAGAAGTGTCGGATTACTCTCTGATCACAGAAAGGCAAGCGGCTCAGCAGGCTGAGATGTAGTACTGAGACTAGATTAGAGATAACCCATGGAATCACAACCAACAGGGCACAGCGCTTGGGATTCAACAGTGCAGCATAGTGTAATGGGTGACAGATGGCAATATATCGGTCATATGCCATGGCTGCCAAAAGGAAATTGTCCAGGTCCACCAGGAACATAAAAAAATACATTTGTGTAAAGCATCCTACAAAGGAGATGGCTGGATTCTGGCTTTGAATGTCCGCCAGCATTTTAGGGACTGTAGTGGTTGTGAAGCAGATGTCAGTGAAGGATAGATTGGCAAGGAAGAAGTACATGGGACTGTGAAGGTGAGTATCACTGATGATAGCCAGAATGATGAGTAAGTTTCCTACCATAGTAACTAGATACATGCATAG